AGATGTTCCCAGAGCTGCAGAAGAAGCACTGGGGGCGTGGGGGGGTGAATGTACTTGCTGTCAGAAGCTCACTGCTTACTTTCCTGACTTGGTCCCCACAGAATAGTCAAGGAGGTGAGGTCCATCGCGTTCAATAAAGAACAGGAGGAGGAGAGGGTGCTGCGAAACATCCAGAACACCAACATCTCTGACGGCCTGCTTAGCAACGAGGTGGCTGCTGGCAGGTCTGGAGATATCCTGTCCACGCTGATGACTCTGGAGAAGGTACAGTATAGAGCCCGATCCTCAGCCGGTGTCAGTGGTGCCTGCGCCTTGTGCTGTCTCTCTGCCCCGGGGTGAATTTCACTCCCTGTTCAGGGGCTATGCGCCCCCAGCGCCGACGGATTTCAGCTGCCGTTGAAAGTACCTTGGCCCCTTTGCACTAAATGTGCAGCTAGCATGAGATCCCAAATCTCTTGGAGGAGGGCAAGGGGCTGCAGGTGTAAAAGCTGTTTTCTGCGCCGGGGTAGAACTGGTCCTGCTCATCAGCCTTGTTCTTTCTCCCTTCGGTAGGCGAACATGATTGACCCACAGGATGTCACGTCATCAGGGTACCACAAGGGGGCAGTGAAAATGGCCTTCTTGAAAGCCCGACGCCAGTCTCTTCTTAACCAGTCAGTCCCTCCTTAGCCATGCCGGAGCGGGACCATGGAGCTGTGAGTGGGAATCTTCCCCTGGACCGTGCAACCGTGGAGCTGCGGCGTAAATGCTTCCTTTGTAACAGAGGCGGATTTATTTGCTTGGCTGAGGAGACGCTTCTGTCTTTGGGATGCCGAGGAGCGAGTGTGGACGCGGGGTCGGAGCTCCAAGGAGCACGCGCCATGAAATACCAGCTTCTAGACGGACAAAGCCAGACCTGGAGGAGTGGCAGGAGACAGGGGTGGCTTGGATTAATGCCAAGGCTGTCATGTTTGCTGTGTGCATTGGGATGACTTGGATATGGCCTGGACTGTCTCGTGGATGGAGAGCATGTCAGAGTATTCATGGTTTGGTGCCTCCAAAGCACAAAGCAAAGAACATCAGGGAAATAAGAGTTGCTGCACAGCCCGCGCCTGTGGTCAGAGCATCGGCTCCCACCCTCTGTCCCAGCGCCCCTGGGCATGTGTCTGTGTAAGTCTCAGGGGAAATCACCTTTGGGTACCTTTGCACAGGTGAGAACAGAGCTGTCCAGGTGGTAAGAGCAGGGATGCAGGATGAAGCACTGGGTGTTCATGCTTGTGCCCATAAAAGGGGCTTCTCTTGCAGCGTCAGGAGCAGATGCAATGTCTAAATCTGGAAAATGTGTGGTGGAGCAGAAGATGTGTCCATCACGTTGTCCTGGCTGATGCCTCCTTGAGACTCTACCGACAGGCAGCTACCTGGAAGTCCAGGACTAGTTGCACAGGCCCTGCCCTGTGCAGTGAGTGGAAAAAGGCTGATGACATTATTTCCCATTTTTAATACCCATTATCAAGTTCTGGACCATGTTCCCTACCTTGGCTGCTCATGACGGTGAGGGACACAATCCAGTGAGGTGCTGACGTGTCTCCTGGATGGGATCGTTTGACTTCCCAAAGCCAGGAGGTGCTCCGTCTCACCTCTGCGTTTCCCACCCAGCGCTCTCCAGACTCCAAGTGCAGAAGGCAATTGCTGTGCTTCAGCTGTATCTGATCCCATGTTCGTTGGACTCCAGCACTCCTGTAGCCTCGCATTAAAATGAGCAGTGTCGGGGGAAAGCAGCTGTAGCGGATGCCAGCGTATTTGAGACTAATACTCGTCAAGAAATACGTGGCTTGTGTCGATCAGCTGTGACGCTTGTGCTGGTCTCGGATGAATGATCATAATAAAGAGCATTGAGCTGTGCTTCTGAAGCCGTTGTGTTCCCATTTCACCTTGTTCAGTGTTTGAGTCTCAAGGATGTCTACACTGCAGTCACAGGGTATGTGTGACATGCTATAGCTTGGGGGAGCGTCCTGTAACCCCCATATTCCTCATTTTTATATAATCGTGATCTTACATATAAAGCAGGCCGTGTGAGGTATCAGGGTAAAGGCTCTGATCTGCTGAAAGTCATTTCTCTATCCATAGATGTGTATCATTAATGCATACGAAGTTATGAGAATTGTGTTGTATGGTTGTCACTAAAACATGCTGTAAGTTGGGGGAAGCAGCCAGATATTAGCTCCCCAGAGGGAACAGCCAGGAAAGTAACCAACGCCCGGGCAAGGTGATACAACCCATCACCAGCCATTGTCCACCAAGGGAGCTACAATTCAATGACCTACCTGCATGAGGCCACACCAGGGAAATTGCTCAACGTTGCCTGGGGACTCAGCAATGCCCCCCAGACATGCCTGGCCTTGTGCTCCCCAACTTCATGGGACTGAGGCTATAAAACAGAACACAGTTGCCACATGCTGGGCCTTTCTCCTTCACCCACCTATGCTGCAAGCAACAAGGACACTGAACAAGACTGGAGACTGGCCCAGATTTAAGGGACAGATCTGTATAGTAAGGACGGCAATGTCCAGGGGGTGAGAAAAACGGCTTAATCTACATGTTGCCAAGTCTAATAGGGTTAAGAGTTTAGACTGCATGCTTATATTTTCTTTTCTTTTGGTAACTAACTCTGACTTTCTGTCTAACACTTATAGTCACTTCAAATCTATCTTTTGTAGTCAATACATTTGTTTAACTGTTTATCTTTACCAGTGAGTTTGTATGAAGTGTGTGGCAAATCTGCTCAGGTTTTGCGAAGGCTGGTGTATATCCACTTTCCAGTGATGAAGTGGTGAATCAATTAATAGGTCTGCATTGCTCATCTTGAGTAGTACAAGATGGTATATTCCTGAGGTACAGTGCTGGGAGCTGGGGGGATTTGGCTCTGGTGCCTTTCTCTGTGTGATTCATGAGTGGCTCTGGGAGCGTTCATGCAATCCAGCTGGGTGTGGGGCTCCACATGGTGTTGTGCTGAGTGATCACAGCACCTGGAGGGGTTTGCTGCTGGTCACTAGCAAGGCATTGTGAGAGACAGCCCCGGCTGGAGAGAGTTCAGGGGACACAGCAGTCCCACGGTCCCAGGCTGTACCCCGGGGATCCCATCATAGTATGACCACAGCTTGTGTAGACATATCTAAAATAGCTTTAATCTAGCAGAACCGGGGCAGCACGGGCTTTTGTGGGGGCTAGCCGTGTGAGTAATTATCCAGGGCTTCGGGTGGGTTTCGGACACGGCGTCACAGCTACTGGCGCTCATGCTAGCTAGATTAAAGCTAGTTTCTGTATGTCTAATGAGCTGCAATCAAGCACGGTAGCCAGGCCCTTAAGTCAAACACAGAGTTGTTCCAGGCGGGTGGGAGATTAGAGACATTGATCACTCCAGCCCCTGACCCTGAAAAGTTGAGAGCGCTCAGCACCTTGCAGGCCTCTGTGCGATGCGGCCGTCGACAGATGCACAATCTGCTAGTCTGCTTTGCACAGGTGTTGGGTGAGGAAGTCGGTGCTAACGTTACTCTGAAATACCCAGATCCACAACGAATGGCAGCGCACACGAATGTCTAACAAAGCCCCTAACCCCTAGGCCCCCTGCCTTTCAAGAGCTATTGCGCGGGATGGAAATCTTCTCCTCATTTGTCCTGTAGCACTCCAGTGGGGAAAACAGTGAACAGAATGGTAACAAGCCTATGCACATCGGAGGCTAATGGTCCCAAGTGTAGACGCTTTCCAGCCACATCAAACCATTCTCTACTTGCTTGGAGATGGACGGCCAGAGTGGGCGGGGTTAGTGAAGGATGAGAGAAGAGCTATCACATCTCGATGTCAAACCGGATGGACATTTGTCAGATTGACATGTGAGTATTAGAATTTTTACTTACATTTAATGAGTTTTATTCTGTAAGATGCCAATGGAGGAGGGAGGTCTCCAGCCCAAAGACAATCACAGACCTCACTGAAGCCAGTGGGGATACCCTTTCTTTCAGGCTCCACACAAGGAGCAATCAAACCCCTTTGTGTAGTAAAAATAGCTGGGGTCGAAGGGGCTACTGCCCAAGGTAATAGGCCGCATGTTGGCCGGTCAGAGCTAAGCCATGTGGGCTGAAGGGTTTCCCTGGCTAGGATTGGATGCACGCTTGCATGTGTATTGGCAGGGAAAGCCAGGAGAAGGAGATGAGCGTATGAGAATGAGAAGAAACTGAGCGGGGACGGAAAATCTTGAGCACAGTACTTGCTGGAGCGGTAGACCTGGGGATTTCTGAGCAAGGAACCTGCCTGCAGTTGTTGGATTCAAGGAAACAAGGCTTTGGTTACAGTTTTGTTGTAGACGGACAAGATCACACCAAGAATAGACCTGATTCTTATCAGCCATTTTTCATCCTATTGGGAATGACCCTGCAAGGCATTGTGGGCCAAAGGGGCGACGTTATTATCCAGAATCTCGGCCCAGACTTGCTGTCTCAGGTGGATGGTGGCACGGGCATTTTAATGTAGTTTAAAGTGAGGGCAAAATTATGGTTAAGCTTTTCAAAGAAACCTAGGGGAGTTAGACACTCAACTCCCCCCTGTTCCTTTGAAAATGTTGGCCTAACCATATAAGAGCAGTTCAGAATCAGAGAGACAAGGTGGGGGAAGGAATCTCTTTTATTGGACGGACTTCTGTTGGTGAGAGAGACAAGCTTTTGAGCTGACACTGAGCTCTTCTTCCATCCTGGGAAATGTACTCAGAAATACAAGGTGTTTCCCACCGATCTTGTCTCTCTAATATCCTGGAACCAACCCGATCACAACAACACTGCAAAGAGTTCAGAATCAGACCCACTGAAAACTGGAGAGTCAAAACGAGACACCCTGGCACAAAGCTATCAAGCAGGCTGCAGATAATACCTTTAGACAATCACAGCAGCAACATGATTATTATTTCTATTACATTAGTGTCTAGAGGTTCCAGGCGAGATCAGGGCCCTGTAATGGTGTATTGTCCCCTATAAGGGATCGTGGGGATCTTCTGGAACCTTGTGTTCTGGAAGTTCTAGAGCAGCTGAGGGGCCTAGGAAATGGCAAAAACAGATGCTGGGAGAGAGAAAGTGGTCCCAGGGTACTAGTGTCTGGGGGAAAATCCAAGTTTCTATTTCTTTAAGGGCCTGGGACCAGGAGACTTGTGCTGTAGGGTGGGACAAAGCTCTGCTCTCTCTCAGCCAACAGGACAAGTTCTGGGAAAGAGGACAGGTATAATCTGCCTCTTCCTTCATAGCGAGAGAGTTGCTAGCAGGAGAAGGACTTCCTACCTCTGCCAGCCCAGAGGGAAAAGGCCTGAGCTGGTTTGACTTTGGTCTCCAAGTGGTGAGGATGGTTGGAAGACCTCACTCCAGCAGAGACATCATGGTGGAAAGGACTTGGTTATGAAGAATTAGACTCGCTACAAAGGGGACTGTTGTTTTAAGTACTCCGGACTGTGCAAAAATTGGTGGGAGACCTAGGAGGGAACTGAGGGTTCGGGGCCATAAGAGGGTGTGCTCTGAAGATGGCACCCTGCCACAGGCCTCATTGCAGTAGGTGCTCTACACACACAAAGGGCTTCCAACACAACAAGAGACGCTGTCGTCCTTCATTGTAGACACAACCTACAGTGATGGGAGGGGTTCTGCCGTTGGTGTAGGGAATCCATCTCCCTGAGAGCCAGGAGCTAGGATGATGGATTAATTTTTCCAATGACCCAGTGCTGGCTGCACGAGGACTTCGGTTTTTCATACCCCTGAGTGACATAGTTATGCCAACCTAATTTTCTTGTGTAGACGAGGCCAAAGAGACAGGCTGTGCCCCAAAGAGCTTACAGTCCAGGCAGGCGCGAAGAAGACCGCAGTCTGAAACTTGGGACAATCATGACACCTCGTAAGATAGTCAAATTTGAAATCTAGCTGCCTTTGGAAAAGTGGTCCATTCCCCCTACCTGAATGGGAATGAGAGTAATGACATTTGGCTTGATCACGGACAGAGAATGTCCCATTCGCTGGCCTGGTTCGGGGAGGGGACACAAGCCTTTTTCTCTTTGAACTAACCAAGACTCTCCATTTGCTACACTAGTTTATAGCCAAATTTGTCAAATCTAGCTGTCTCATAATGGGCAGAAGCTTTGATGGTGATCTAAACAGAAGCTTTGATGGTGATCTCCTGACCTCACTGCGGGGCTGGGACCTCTACAAATCAGTCTTCTGTTTAGGATTTAGGAGACCAGTTTTAGGCACTTGGGTTTGAAATGTTGCCTTCTGGCCCAGCCAGCAGGGTGAAATGACTTCAAATGGGCAGATTTTTGAGTGCCAGCCAGTAGAGGGCAGTGGTGAGACATTGGCCCATACCTCAGTCACAGCTGATCCATCTGCCTGGGAAATTGGTGTCTCTAGTGTCTAGGGCACAGGCTTAGGCAGCAAGAGACTTGGGATCTATTCCTCCATCTGCTGCTGACCTCAGGCAAGTCACTTCCCCCGCTGTTTGTGCTCCCAAACACTTGAAGGCAGGGACTTTTTTTTTTTTAGCATGTCTGTAGAGCTCCCAGTACATTAGGGCACAGATGTCAGTTTGGGTCTCTAGATGTTACTGTAATAGAAATAATATTTATTCCATCTTTACTGAAATGATACATAATAGAGGCTTTTTAGACACACACTTTGCCAAACCTTTATGTTCCCCTGAAGCTAAAACAACCCTAAAAATCCTTCCTGAAAGTTTTAAATAACACAAAGAACAGGAGGACTTGTGGCACCTTAGAGACTAACAAATTTATTTGAGCATAAGCTTTCGTGGGCTACAGCCTACTTCATCGGATGCATAGAATGAAACATATAGTGAGGAGATATATATACACATACAGAGAACATGAAAAGGTGGGAGGATACTTATCATGGGGAAATACATTCAATGTGTGTAATGGCTCAGCCATTCCTCACATCTTCTTGTCAAACTGTCTGAAATGGGCCATCTTGATTATCACTACGAAAGTTTTTTTCTCCTGCTGATAATAGCTCATCTTAATTAATTAGCCTCTTAGAGTTGGTAGGGCAACTCCCACCTTTTCATGTTCTCTGTATGTATATATATCTCCTTACTATATGTCACATTCTATGCATCTGATGAAGTGGGCTGTAGCCCACGAAAGCTTATGCTCAAATAAATTTGTTAGTCTCTAAGGGCTGGTCCACACTAACCCCCCAGTTCGAACTAAGATACGCAACTTCAGCTA